CTTCAAGAGTAACAAGCACCACTGGCTTGCAACTCGATCACCTAGTGCCACTCAATGCAATCTCACAATGCAACGCACTAGAATCACACTCACTCGTAATCGATTCGCACTCTTGCAAACACAAGTGAGTTAGAGGGCATCCAAGCACTCCTACACAAGCCACATAAGCGTGAGGGTGCTCAGCGACCAGCCCAAGGCCAGCCACACACTCCTTTTATAGCTCCAAAGGCTAAAATAGCCGTTACCCCTTCACTGGGCAAAGCGCGTATTGACCGGATGCGCAGGTCATAACGACCGGACGCTGGACCCCAGCGTCCGGTCACTTACAGAGAGGTTCCAGTGACGTTTTTCAGCGACCGGACGCGTCCGGTCATCACTGACCGAACTCTCCCAGCGTTTGATGGCTTCTGAACACGCTAAAAACACTGACTGGACGCTGGGACCGGACGCGCAGGTGCTGACCGGATGCTGGAACCCAGCGTCCGGTCATTTTTCACGTCAGCGCCCGGTCATAGACCTTTCAGCGCTAAAACGGCTATAACTCTTAGCTCCAAACTTCGATTTTGATGATCTTGAACATTTTGAAAAGCTTACGCAGAGGGCTACACATCCCACATGCATACTTGATCCAAATAACAATGGATCAAAACAATATTCCAATCCAAGGACCATCCTATAGTTCGGAGTACACCGAAAAACCTTTTTTCTCTTCTCTAAGTTGATTCACAACAACTCTAACTTCTTCTCCTTTGCAAATGTGCCAACACCACCAAGTATGCACCACCATGTGTATGTGTGTTAACTTTTCACAAACATTTTCCAAAGGATTAGCCACTCAACTTGCCACGCCACTTGATCCTAGCGATGATGCAAAGTTAGATCACTCGAGTGGCATTAGATGACCGATATGCAAACAAGTTTGCCCCTCTTAATAGTACGGCCATCTATCCTAAACCCAGTCATCAACTTCTCTACACACCTATGACCGATGAAATGAAATGCCCTAGGTTATACATTTGCCTTACGCATTCCATTCCATCTCCTCCAATGTCGATGCAACACATGCACCAACATGATCAACAATGATATGATCTACTTCATATCATCATATGATCATATTGGTTCATCGATCTTGACTCCACTTGCTTTTCACCATTACCTTCGTCCATCGGCGCCAAGTCTTACTCAAGCTTCACCGCCACGTGGTCCATCGCTCCAAAGCCTCTAACTTGCCCTTTACGCTTGCAACCGATCCATCAAGCCAAGTCTTGTCTTGATCTTCTCCTCCTTGATCACATGACTCAATGTCATGTCTCATGTGCAATAAGCTCCTTCATCATCACATGTGTGAGCTTTGCAACATCTCTAAGCCATTTTCACTTTCATGGCATATGTTGCTCATACATATGTACCTGTGGACTAATCACCTATGTATCTCACATAAACACAGTTAGTCTACCTAGGTTGTCACTCAATTACCAAAACTACACAAGGACCTTTCAGTTACATAGTTTACCTTTCAACCTCCATTACAGCTATATCTTCTGCATTCCCATTCTTGCAAGTGTACCAGTGATGCCCTAACTCATGGAAGATGGGGCACTCATGTTTCTTTGCCCTCTTCTTGCTGCTGCCTCCCTCAAGTGATGATTTCATCCTATTCTTCCTTCTACCTCCTATGGACCTAAGATAGGGAGGGTGCATGAAAAAGCCATGGGTAGCTTTGGGCCACATGCTTTTGTTAGGAATACAAGGGATGAAACCCTCATATGCAGCTCTGAATTTGTTGATAGAGAAGTAATTATCCACATGGTCTTCTAGTTTTTACCAGGAATTGAAGTAATGTAGGCTATTGCATGTTTGCATGGGATTCCTGACCCTTGCCAAACCCTACAGGAACAGGTTCTGTCAGGTAGGCTGACCACAAACCTGAAGCCACTACCTCCCTTAGCACACAGTTCTACCACACCATCAGGGAAGGCTGTGATCACTTTAATGTCCAGGTTGTAACTGTCTTTCCTTAGCTTCTACAGGATGTGAGGTAGAATCTTTTCCTCCAACTTCTTGGCTACCTTCTTTCTATGGTTCCATTTGATCAAAATCTTCTATCTTATAGTGTTCAGCAAGTCATCCAGGTGCTTTACCTTCTCAGGCTTGATCCAATTATTGAATGACTCAGCCAAATTATTAGTCATATAATCAACCATTGACAATGTCCTGTATTGGCTCCTGGTCCAAAGTTTCTTGTGAGTTTCTTGGAGATACTTCATTGCCTCAGGTTTGGCTACAGCCATTGCTTGATAGTGCTTCTCAAACATGTAAGGGCTCCATGAATATGAAGAAGCCCACAAGTCATCATCAAATACCTTCCCACTGTACCTCTCTCTTCTTGAAATTCTGTACTAAGTGATACATACACTCTCCATGTTCAGCATTTGAAAAAACTTCACTAACCCCATTCATGACTGCCTGGCCATAATCTGTGCAGAATATCAAGTCCTCTAGGGTGCATATTGCTTCCTTCAACCTCTCCATGAACTACACCCAATTCTCATTGGTTTCTAAGTCAATTATACCAACAGCTACTGGATACATCCAGTTGTGCCCATCTACTACACAAGCAATGCACAACTGTCCCCTAAATCTTCCTGTTAAAAATGTGCTATCTACTGCAAGATATGGTCTACAGCCTCTAAGAAATCCATCAACACATGGTTTCAGTGCAAAGAATAGCCTATTGAACCTGATCTTATTGTTGATTGTGTGATTATCAATGCCAAGAAATGCTCTAGGACATGATTCTTCTAACTGGGCCTTAAGCCTATATAGGTTATCAAAACTTTTGCCCCAAGGCCCATAAATCTTATCCATGGCAAGATTTTTACCTTTATATACTATTTTGTAGGGCACCACAATTTTGTGTTCATCCTTCAACCTCCTTTGTAGTTCTGTTGCACCTAGAGTTCTATCTTCCTTCAGCCAATCAATCACCTGACTACACACCCAGAACTGTGTTACCCCTACACAGATTCCTTGCCTCCTTGTGCTCTAACACTCATTAGGGTAGGGGTTCCTTTTCACCTGCAAAACAATCAAGTAATGCACTTATTACAAGCCACACAATGCAAGAAAAACAGGGAGCAGTCAATAAAAATAATGTACTAACACATTACCTTAATAGTGTGCCCATCCCTTAGAGTTGAGGCATGAAGTCTCCACCTGCAGCCCTCACTCTACTGTGAGCAGTTCACCCTATACCTCCATATATCACTCTTCTCAATGTCATAGTTGAACTCATGTTTAACAGCATGAGTAGCTAAAGCAATCTTAAAAACATCAATGTCTGAATACGTTGTTTCTACTGACATAGGAGGGTCCTTCTTGTCATAATCAATATCAGGCATATGTTCAGACTCTCTATCTTTAACCATATCATTTATGTCTTCTACTTCATCATCAGAGGATTCATCATTAGAGTCTGTCTCAGAGGATTCATCAGCACCAGAACTCTCACCTTCCCATTCTTTACTCTCACCTTGGCTCTGAGGATTGGGAGGAGGTGATGGGTATTAGGGACCAAGGTCAATATACAACCCTTCCTCATCAACACCCACACACTCATTCATTGGGTTTGAGTTAGCCAGGTATTCAGGTTCATCAGATTGAGTGTGTGTGGCATGGCTTGGTTCTGCTAAGCTTGGACAAGCAATTGAAGAGGTGAATGGGGATTCAACAGAGTTCATAGTGCTACCAGAATCCCAATCAGGAATCACAGGGGGCTCACTACTTGGGCTATGATATGCAACAGTCAACAAGCAGCATTTGGAAGCCTGATGTTTTGCAAACATTTCAACCAAATCTTGGTCAGTGCAGATTTGGATGTTCACTTTACTATCAATGTAGAAATAAAATAATCTCACTATGTCACCGTAGTTATGAGGATACTTGTCGATAACTTCAGCAACCAGGTCTGTGAAGTTAGTGCGGTCAACATCCACGACTTTGTTTAACGAAAACCACCGCGCACGAGAACTGGGAGCAACAATTCGGATTTCTAAGTTGTAGCTACTTTCTGCGTCCATCCTATAGATAAATAAGGAGCACGCAATCAACACTACAAACACGGGGCACAAACGCAGGGCACTAAATACCAATCAAAACTACAAACACGAGGCACCACGAAACCAAGGGGGGAAACAGTGAACTCACTCATCCGGAAGCCAATTCGGTCGCTCGCCCACGCCCTTGTTCCCCACGATGCCACGCCTATCCTCTAGATCTATGGTCGAATCCACGCTCCACTACCCCATGCGCCACCACAAGCACGGGTGATTCGTCGTTCTTCTCTCCCAGCCGCTGCTACAACCTCCGCCGTCGGATCCGCCGCCGCTAGGGTTAGGGAGTTGAGGGAGTCGAGTGAGAAGAGAGAATGAGAGACTGAGGGAGATGCCGATCAATATCGGTCAACACAGTCTCCACATATGCCCGTGACTGAAAGGGCAACATGAATATTTTTCCTGCCCGGTCCCACATGTAAGAGCTGCTAAAAGGTCAAAACCAAATAGAATGGAGACGGAATGACGTGGTAGACAAAAAAGTTTAGCGTCATGACGTCAGGGTCCGTGTCAAACTTTTTGGTGCCGTATAAGAATAGAGCATTTTTCATAAGGCAAAGTATAAGTGCAAACCAACCTCTCCGTGCAAATCGTGTAAACCAAGTGCGGGGAAGAGGTGGGAGGGGGATTTGCAAAAGTGTAATTAGGAGCGGGCGTAATTACACTTTTACAAATCTCCCTCCCACCTCTACCCCGCAGTTGGTTTGCACGATTTGTACGAAGAGGTTGGTTTATACTAGATATGTTCCCTTTTCATAATAGCACACTGTTAAAAGGATCTAGAAACAAAGAGATACCAAATAGTAAAAGAGAAACAGTCTGGTCTCGTCCACCTCCAGGAAGCACACGCCGGCAGAGAGCAGAGCAGCAGATCGACATCGACCCATGGATGCTTCGGCCCTCAACAACCCGCGCCTCAAGGCGATGATCGAGGTACTCACTCCGCTCCGCTTCACCTAGTGGATGATTTCTTGCTCCGCATCCCAATATCCCATACCCATCGGCGGCGCATCTGTTATCCCCACCACCCCCACACGTTTTTCTTTTTTCTTTCCTCCCGGATTCATTGATTGATCTATGCCCGTGGCACACGTGGTGGTAACAGGAAAGATTTGTGTTTGATTTTGGCGGCTTAAACCTAGTACCAGTTTCTTCTTACTGTACGAACCAGTAGTCTTTTTCCCTCTGTGGAATTCGCCTTTTCCTCATTGCCTGGCCTGTTCTACAGTTCCTGCGATAACAGCGGGAGTGCCCCCCCTCAGTGTGGGGTTCCGAGGTGTACGGTCGGGGAGCTGTATTCACATGCAACTGGTGCTAAAACCCTAGTAGGATTCAGTGACTGGACTTGTGGCGTAGTTAGTATCCAGTACCCCTGCTTTGCACACAATGCAAGCGTTGTTTCTTTGATTCTTGATATTGGGGGGTTTCAATGCTTCCAAAGCTGCTTTGATTGTTAAAAGGGTCTTGGATCCATTCTACAATGAAAATTTTGGATATTGGCCAACCTTTGCACACTTGATTTTACTAAGATGGCGTTTGGTTCAGCAAAATGTAACCTAATTAGATTAGGGGGGGATCAGATGGTGATACAGCTGCTTGGTTCAGCTCGGTCAGTTATGGAGTACCCCACAATCAGATACAGACTGCCCCTCCACAAGCTTTATCGCATTACGCAGCAGCTGCCGTTTTCGGTTTCCCTTTTTTTGCAACTAAACAAATCACGGGAATCAAGATCCCCCTGCTGCCCCCCGCGTCATCTGATTTCCTTACCATTTATGTTTCCATCCATGGAAACAAACATCTTCTATTTCTTTGTGTACAAACAATAAATAGCACTGACCCTGTACTCATAAACCACCTCCCTGTCTGAATTTTCTGGATGACACTGCTTGACTCATTATTGTTTCCCCTCAAAAACAAAAGGTTTCTATCACCTAAACTATGGATTCTCCTGACTGGTTTTGTTGTAACCTCTGTTAAATGACTATGTTTCTTTCAAACGCAAGTTAAAAGTTAAAAATTGCTCTCATGGTCATGGGCCGTAACAGGAGTTTAGACTCATGTTACAAGAGAAATGAATGATTTATATAGTAAGCCAGCTGTTCAAATTTAAACAATTCTAAATTCTCAAGTGCACCTATGATGTATATATGTATACAAGGGAGCCGACTTGTTACAACCTGTTCCTGTGAATTTAACTCAAGCACAAACGTGTTCTAGGTCTATCCCATGTTATTACTGCATATTATTTCAATGAATGATATGGATGATTTGTAGTTTGTATATGTGTTAATGGTAGAGTAGAAATTCAGACTGCGTGTTATGCTGATATCGTTCCATTGAGATTAGTCAGACATGTGCGAAGTTTCTTGTTGTTTGTTAGCATCAAACTCAGTATGTTCACACTTAAGGAATCCAATACAAGTGTGGACGATGATGGCATGACTTCTTTTTTTCTCGAACACGCAGGAGAGCTGCGTATCATTATATTAAGAAGAGTAAAGGAGTGGGTTTAGAAACCCCATACAGTCACACACATACACACACCCTTTTACATTAAATGGTGTATCTCTCTCACTTGTCAAACTTGACCCAAGACCACTAGAGAGGAACTCACGCATTGGCCGGCTCTATTGCATGACATGTTCGAAGAGGTTGCTTGATAAACATGCATTACAGATTGGGGGTGTAAGGGACCGTGACGCTTAAGAGGGGGGTGAATTAGGCAACTTAAAAATTTACTTTAAACTATGGCCTCTAATTCCACCTTAGCAAAACCTATGCAAGAAAGTAATCTATCTAAATGTGCAACAACGATTTTGCTAATGTGTTGCTATCTCTACCGCAAAAGAGTCTTACAACCTAGGTTCCAACCCTATCAACTATGCTAGGAAAGTAAAGCACACAACCTAGGTAACAATGTAAATGTGGAAGGTAAAGATGAGGTAGAGATGCAAACTCCCGTCGACGACTCCGGTATTTTTACCGAGGTATCGAGAAGCGCTCAAGCTTCCCCCTAGTCCTCGTTGGAGCCCCTCGCAAGGAATCACTCGCAAGGGCCAAGCTCCCGGTTGGGTAACTCCGTGAATAGCCCCGGGCCTTCCCCACGCGCAAGTGGGTCTTCGGTGTGCCTTCCGGCAAGCCTCTCCCGAACCGCTCCCCGCTGTCTTCACTATCAAGCTTTCGGCCGAACTGCCACGGGCCTTGTTCCCTTAGGTACACGGTGGCGGCCACACCACAAACGCGGTTGGTGTGGTCTCGCAAGACTACAAGCCCCTCCGATGTACAACAATGGTGCGCGCAAGCACCGAGTGGTAAGAGGCGTGCAAACCTCACTAAACACTAGGCCTAAATCTAGAGCAAGCGCATATGAGCATGGTCTAACTAACCTAAGCACTTCGCAAAGCACTTACGCTAATCACCAAGTGATCTTTAAGCTCTATGCATGTGGAGAGCACCAAAGTGGTGTAGCAACACCCTAGTATCCTTCTCTTGCTCCGCCATGCCTCAAATGGCCGGTTGGAGTCATATATATAGGCCACAAGTGGAGATATAGCCGTTGGGGCCGAGCTCCACGTTTCTGCGTGGGCGCTGGACACGGCGGTGCCAGCCACGTCAGCTAGCCGTTGGTCACTGACAACCGACCTTTGGGGTACTGTTCACCGGGGCGGTGCACCGCCACCCTAGGGGCAGTGACCAGGGCGGTGCCCAAGTCCCCAAGTCGCTGCTCTCTGGAATTTTAGGCCGGTGGCACCGCCACCCCCTGTCCGGTGCACCGCCACCCCATGGCGGTGACCAGGGCGGTGCACACGTTGCTGTCCGGTGCCCCCCTCTCCTTCCAGCTGCAGCAGCCCTTTGTTTGGTGGCACCGCCACCCCCTGGCGGTGCACCGCCATGCCTAGGGCGGTGCCCCCTCTTGCTGTTTCTTCGCGTTTCTTCGTCGGGGCTTCGTCATCTTCGTGTCTTGGACTCCTTGCTTCTCTCCTAAGATGTCAACACCTTCTCCAATGTCTTCTCTTGAGTGTTGACCAATTTCTTCACGTTCCAAAGTTGGTCCAAGTCCGCGTTGCATCCTATTTGACTATAAAATAGACACTAGCAAACACATTAGTCCAATTTGGTTGTGTTGATCATCAAACACCAAAATCAAAGTAAATGGGTCTAGGGTCTATTTTCCTTGCAGGGGGCAAGGTTGCTTAGCACCCTTGATTTCTTAAATGCGAGTTCTGCCAGCCTTTTTTTAGAAAGACTTTGTAAATGCTACATATTTGTGATTGATTTGAGCTTAAATTTGGTATTAGTTCGTTTGTCTGTGCGAACCAGCAATCCCCTCATGGTATTCGCCTTTACCCCTTTTCCATTGTTTAGCCTTATTATTCCTCAGTGTCCTGCTCTACAGTTTCTAGGATAATAATAGAACCAAGGGAATCTCTTATCAGCTGGAATGCCCCAGAATCTTGGATTCTTGGGTTTAGAGGTGTGCCAAGAGTTTGTATTCAGATGCAACTGATGCTAAAACCCTAGGAGTATTCAATGGCTCTACTGATGAAGTATCCAGTATCACTGCTTTGCATTGCATGGATGTGCAATGTAAGTGATGTATCTTGATTCTTGATAATGGAGGGTTCCAATCATTCCAAAGCTGGTTCAATTATTAAAAGGGTCTTCAATCCATTCTACAATGAAAAAATTTGGATGTTAGCCAACCTGTGCATACTGGATTTTGATCTGTTTGTGTACAAACAATAACTACCCCTGACCCTATACTGATAAACCGCCTACCTGCTGTCTGAAGATTCTCGCTCATCCTGAATGGCACTGTTCAATCGTTATTTTTTCTCATAGCAAAGTTTATACCTGAAACAAGCAGACTCCTGACTTGTTTCGTGATAAGTTATAATCTTTAATTAATAGCGCAAGTTAATATGAACCTCATGGACTCGTTGAATAATAAATTTCTCTCACAGACCATAAATGTTACCAGAGAAATGATTTGTATAGTAAGCTAGTTGTTCAAATTTAAACTATTCTAACCCTCAAGTGCATCTATGATATACTATACAAGGGAGCTGGCTTGCTACATCCTGTTCCTGTGAATTTAACTCAAGCTCACACCTGTTCTGAGTCTGTACGATGTTACATATTATTTCAGTGAATGATATGGATGATTTGCGGTCAATTCAGTATGCGAATTATGCAGATATCTTCCCATAGAATTAGTGAGGCATGTGTGAAGTTGCTTGGTGTTTAATAACATCAAACTCATCGTGTTCAGACTTGAGAAATCAAATGCAAGTAGGGAGGATGGTGGCAACCCTGATTTCTTAATGCGAGTTGCAGCCAGCTTTTTTAAGTAAAAAAAAACTTGTAAATGCAACATATCTGTGGGATTGATGGTTGGATGGAAATAAATTACTACTGTTTTGTGCTTTGCAGGAGGAGAGAACAAAGGCTATGGCAAACGAGCTGGTGGCAAAGCTGACTTTTCTTTGCTGGGACAAATGCGTCACGGGCAGCGTCGGGAGCAGCTTCAGCAGGAGCGAGACCTCGTGCCTGTCCAACTGCGCAAAACGCTTCTCTGAAGTGAAGATGATGACCATGCAACGCTTCACCGGTCGCAGTTGAAGTCACACACACATATATACACATTGGCATTTCTGTGCATCGACGGAACAATGTGTAGTAGTATCCTCTGGAATGTCCAGATGGCGTACCTGTCTTCTCAACTCTGACGCAGCACGAGTTTTGTTATCTTTATTATTTATATTATCGTTGCCTCGTTGGTGAGATGATAGAAAATTATGAAGACATGCCATTCAAAAAAAATGCCCTGGTACTAGCAGTGGCCTAGAAATCTATGCATTTTGTTTAGGGTAAAGTACACTTTTCAATCTCCAACTTGCACTCAAGTTCGATTTTCAACCTTCAATTATAAAACCGGGTAACAAACATCCTCCAACTATCAAAACCGCACAAATTTGGTCATCGACTGTTTCAAAAGCGGCCGAAATTTTATATTATTTTTTTGAGCCTCTTAACGTCCTCAAATGAAAAAACTCAAAACTATAAAGTTGTAGATCTCATTGAGAGCTACAACTTTGGTATAAAAAGTATTTTCATTCGACTTCATACAAAAAATATATTATTTTTCTAATGCGGCAAACGTTATTATGATGCTGAAATTTTATATTATTTTTTGAGCAACTTAACGTCCTTAAATTAAAAAAACTTAAAACTAGAAAGTTGTAGATATCATCGAGATCTATAATTTTTATATAAAAATCATCTTCATCCGACGTCGTATCGAAGAGTTATGATTTTTCGAAAGTTGAGTCTTCTCATGCGACAAAACAACTTTCGAAAAATCATAACTCTTCAATACGACGTCGAATAAAGATGATATTTATATAAAATTGTAGATCTCGATGATATATATAACTTTCTAGTTTTAAGTTTTTTAATTTGAGGACGTTAAGTTTCTCAAAAAATAATATAAAATTTCAGCATCATAATAGCGTTTGCCGCATTAGAAAAATAATATATTTTTTGTATGGAGTTAAATGAATATACTTTTTATATCAAAGTTGTAGCTCTCAATGAGATCTATAACTTTGTAGTTTTGAGTTTTTTCATTTAAGGACATTAAGAGGCTCAAAAAAATAATATAAAATTTCGGCGCCTCTCAAAAATAGAAAACCGCTTTTGAAACCAGCCAAGGACCAAATTTGTCTGGTTTTAATAACTGAAGGGTGTTTATTAACCGGTTTCATAGTTTAAGGTTGAAAATCGAACTTCAGTGCAAGTTAGAGAATGAAAAGTATACTTTACCTTTTGTTTAAGGTGGTGTTGAATTGAAATGGTTCTGTATGCTGATGCAAAGATGGCTGACAAATTTACCATTGTAGCCTGGCCTGGCCGCATCGACAACCCCTCAGATTCTCAGTTTAGCAGCTACTGTTACTGGGCACGTATCTCAAGGTTCATCCGGCTCCAACGGTGGAGAGTGGAAACAGCTGTTGGGCGCGTTTAGTTCGGCACATGCAAACTTTGCATAGTGCACGATTCTTCGAATTTTGTTTGTATTTATGAATTATTGTTCAAACATTGATTAATTAGGCTCAAAAGATTTGTCTCGCAAAGTTAAAGCAAATTGTGCAATTAGTTTTTGATTTTGTCTACATTTAGTACTCCGTACATGTACCGTAAATTTAATATGACGATAATTTTTTTTTACATAGGCCTTATTTAGATCACCTCCAAATTCCAAGTTTTTTCACTCTCTCTCCATCACATCAATTTTTGGACGTATGCATGGAGCATTAAATGTAGGTAAAAAAAATAACTAATTACATAGTATGATTGTAAATCACGAGACGAATCTTTTGAGCCTAGTTAATCCATGATCGAACAAAGTTTATCAAATACAAACGAAACGTACTACAATGTCTAAGTTATAAAAATTTACAATCTAAATAAGAGGGCATAGTGTATTTTTGGGGAACTAAACAATGGCGTTGTGTTGTTTGGTGAGAGCCAGAGATTAATGAGCGGTGACACGACTGCCCGTCAGTCCAGTGTATGAAATGTCCCGTATACATGTATATATGTTCAAGCGACCTGAACGAGGTGCTAGTAGAACTAGTGCCTTCCTTTTCTTCTCCAGCTGCGACTCCTCCACTCTCAGGCTCTACACTGTTGCTTGCTCCGACGACACCCTCAAGGTGACACCTCTCATCTTCTCTTTCTCAGCTAATCTGCGATGACTTTCCGTTTCTCATCATCTTTGTGATAATCTCATGCGATTCGGCTAGTATTAGTTTAAATTATTGCCTCGAATAAACTAGGATTAAGGTTTGACTGGTTGCTTGGACGTACTCTTCAATGTCGCTATGTATTTTGTTTCTCCCAATCTTTTCTTTATTGGTACCTGCCCTTTTTTAGTTGATATCTAAGGTGAAAGTGCAGCAGTGTAGCTTGATGAAACATCTACTTTTTTTGGTGGATCCCTCCTGTCCCATCTGTAAATTTAGTTGTGTAAATTTAGATGATACATACATATATCTAGTGCGACTGTGTGGCCTCTCTGTGCGTGCTCACTGCTCAGCAAAACATGTAGTGAGTAGTGACATATAAATATGCTTCTGTTGTTTTCAGATATGTTCATTGTTTCCTTATTGGACTTGACAACAAATTATGCTTCTGTTATTTTCTTTCAGAAGTTGCCGTCTGTTGTTTTTTCATAAGTCTGTTCTCTCTTATATTCTGCTTTACGTTTGTCATTTCTCTTCCCATATATCCAGCTAGCTCACTTGTTTATAGCATACAAATTAGACATTTTCTACACGGTTATAGTAGTTTGCTGACCATTTTCACACTGCCACCATCACAAATACAGACTGCTCACTGACTTTTATTGACCATTGTTCAGTTCCACTACTAGGTGTTTGCCATGGACTACTCGCAAGATGAATCAGAAAATGACGAGCAAGAGCTAGATGTGAGTGTGAGTGTGTGACTTCTCTGTGCTCAGCAACGCAATACATATGTAGTGATGACTACTACATATGCTTCTTTTTTTTCCAGATTTGTTCATTGTTTCCTTCTTGGACTTGAGAGCAAATTATGCTTCTGTTATTTTCTTTCAGAAGTTGCGTTTTTTTTTTCCCAGAAGTCTGTGCTCTCTTATATTCTGCTCTATGTTTGTCATTTCTATTCTAATATATCCATCTCAGTTGTTTATAGCATACAAAATTACAGACATTGTCTACACAGCAATAGTAATTTGCTGGCCAGTTTCACACTGCCACCATCACAAATACCTTCACTGACTTTTATTGACCATTGTTCATTTCCACTACTAGGAGTTTGCCATGGAGAACTCGCAAGATGAATCAGAAAGTGACGAGCAAGAACAATTCTTGGAAATGAAGCCATTGTGGTCATTAGCACCAATGTTCCCGCTTCCTATGGGATATGATGTGGCAACTCAATCAACTGATCCAATGCTAGTTTTTGTCACACCATTCAGGCCCTGCACATCGCCGGAACAGTCTCCAGTTTCATTTGGTCAACCCTTACCAAAGTCACCAATTCCTCTCAAGGCTACTCCAATCTCAGCTGCATTTCCCATGCCACGACACAAAGGTGGATCGTCACATGATCCTCTGAAGGATACTCCAATGTCAGCGGCATTTCCCATGCCACGACACAAAGATGAACCATCAGATGATCCTCTCAAGGCTATTCCAATCTCGGCTGCATTTCCCATGCCACGACACAAAGGTGAATCCTCAGATGATCCTCTCAAGGCTACTCCAGTCTCAGCGGCATTTCGCATGCCACGACACAAAAATAAATCATCAGATGATCCTCTCAAGGCTACTCCAATGTCAAGGTCATTTCCAATACCACGACATGAGGATGAATCATCAGACGAAGACTACAAGCCCTTTTCTGGTCAGAAAAAACCAACCCCGCTGAAGACAGCCAAGAGGACTCAGCAGGCTGAATGCTCCAATGCAGCTAACACCAAGCGCAGGTCAATACAGAGAAGCCTCAACAAAGAGCTTGCCTTCAGTTCATCCTTGTCAAGTGACCCAAAAGAATCTGTCGAAGAGGCGATGATAATGTTTGATTCACTTCGGCGCCACATACTGCAATTGGATGAAAAGGAGGACGCAGGCAAGCGGGCCGACTTGAAGGCTGGAAGTCTCATGATGCAGAATGGCCTGAGGATCAACAGTTCGAAGATCATAGGACCTGTACCTGGTGTTGAAATTGGAGACATTTTCTTCTTCAGGATTGAAATGTGCATTGTTGGTTTACATGCACCTGCCATGGCTGGCATCGATTACATTTCTGCTAAGCATGCTGGAAAAGATGAGATTCTGGCCGTCAGCATCATCTCATCTGGTGGTTATGAGAATGACGACAATGACATGAACATTTTGGTGTACACAGGTCAGGGAGGCAATAGTCGACACAAGGATAAGCATGACCAGAAGCTTGAAAGAGGTAACCTTGCTCTCATGAATAGCATGAAAAAGAAAAACCTGATCAGGGTTGTGCGCAGCGCACATGACCCTTTTTGCAATTCGAGCAAAATTTACATCTATGATGGACTTTACTGGGTCGAAGATTCCTGGACGGACAGAGCAAAGAATGGTTTTAGTGTTTTCAAGTACAAGCTGAGAAGGGAGCCGGGACAGCGAGATGGAATTTCAGTTTGGAAGAAGACTGAGAAGTGGAAAGCAAATCCAGTGACAAGAAACAATGTTATAAGGGTGGATATATCATCAAAAGCTGAGAAGCTACCTGTATGCCTTGTTAGTGATGTAGATGACCAGAAAGGGCCAAGCTACTTCAACTATATTACTGGAGTGGAGTATTCAAGGCCACTCAGCAAGACAAAACCTTTACAAAGCTGCAAGTGTCCTAGTGTGTGCTTGCCTAGTGATACTAATTGCTCATGTGCACAACTGAACAGTGGTTATCTTCCTTACAGCGCCAATGGAGTGCTTGTGAAGCACATTCCAATGCTTTATGAGTGCTCCTCCACGTGCCAGTGTTGTCAAAATTGTCGAAACAGGGTCACACAGAAAGGTGTCAATCTTAACTTTGAGGTC